TCAAAGGATATGTTAAAACAATTTAAAAATGTATAACTTGAAGACTTATTAATTACATTGAATTATTTATTAATTAATAATTATATTTAGTCATTGTTTGTCTTCTAATAACTTCAACAACAGCAAGTACAATGCCAACAATTTAAACTATTGTATTGTGAGCAAATAATAATTAAATTAAAGCAGTGTTAAGACTGATAACAATAACTTATAACAAATTCATGTTGAGGCTACCAGCACAAAAAAGAGCATGAGGCTTATTTATCCAAACATGATACATGATAATGATTATAAGTACAGTACTTCACTCAATCAGAATTCAATGTAATATAATATTAAAACTTGTATGTTTGGGACTTGTTAACTTTGATAACATTATACATGATTACAATAGCAGAGTTTACTGAATGCAGAAGAGAAATAATTATTATAGGCTACAGCAACACTTAAGTAAACTTGCTTGTAATTACTGAAAATTTTTCTTCATACTATAATAATTTGTAGATGTTTTCAATAAAATTTACTATAAAATAAAATGTACTTCATTTTTCTTGTATATTTTATTAATGTATGTATTATATTAAATAAAATATATATACTATATTCTGCAGTTATTAAATTGTATATCAAAATATCAATTACTAAGCAAACAGCATAAATACGTTTCCATCAAACTTTTTATTGGAAAAATAACAATTAATTATAGTAAATCAAAATAGAAAAAGTTTTTTCATTTAATTTTTCTTATTCTTTATTAGCATATTGAAGTCTGTAGTGTGGTATAAATTTAAAAATTAAATATATATCCGTATTCTAATCATTATATACTGTATATAAAATATTTACAGAAAATAAGTTTTTGATTTAATAAAATAACTTTGTTCGATTTTAATTTTTAACTTTTTTTCCTAAATATTTAAACTACACATTAGTTTATTGTAAAATAGTTGTACTAAATGATGTTTGTGTTAGGATATAAAAAAAAGCTTAGGAAGCTGTTTTACAAAGGGTGGGAGAAAGTACGTAATGCTGGGGTTGTGAGACCTCAGCATTACGTAATACAATGTTTAGTTTTTTTTTTGTTTTTGAAGTGTTACATAGCGAATCGTACTGTCTAACGTCACTGCTTTCTACGCTATGAACTAATTAGTAAAATAATGTAGTGTTCGGTACTCCGTACCATGAGCATCCGCAGAAAGTTTTCCAGGCGGGACAAAGCTTGAAGACAATTACATAAATAAATTTTTATAATTACATAATCACTTTTAAAATAATAATAATAATAATAAAGTTACATAATCACTTTTAAAATTTTCCATAAATTCTAATTCTCCCATTCCTCCTTTCTGTGGACGCTGATGCTCAATGCCAACTTTTAGGCTTTATGAAGTTAAATACAAGTATTAATATTATATATTTTATTATATTTTTAAATTTACAGTGCGAGTCCATTTAGATCATCCTCAGCTTATCCAAAGTAACAAAATCGTTCAAAGGTGTTATTCATGGAATTCGAGTCTCTCCAGCCTTTCATGTCTAAAGAGCTCTATATAACTTATAACACACTAGCAGATCCCGCCACGCGTTGTTGTGGCTCAAAATGTATCTATTATAAATGTATAACACTTCCCCCGTGGGGGAGGAATTTTTCGAAAAATTTCTTCTTAATGTGCATTCTCTTGACGTACCCTATTAAAACGCAATCAAAAACGCAAAAACCCGCATCTTAAATAATATAAATGGAAGCAGAGTTCTTTACCGTAAGCCTTAATCCTAACCATCTCCATTCAGTGGGGAGAATTTCGACATGTAAATTATATAAAAACACGTGCGTATTCGAATGCAGCGTTGTGTCAAAATTTCAAAGGAATCGGTAGGAACAAACGAACATTACATTTTTATTTATATAAATAGATAGAAGATGATCTGCTTTAGTTCATTTTAACAGAAAAGCGTAATGCCTCACAAAAAAGCAAACTTAGGGTGTCGTACTCGTAGCGCCATCTGTTGGACATAAAAGCCTTAACCTAGATTATATCTTTTAATTTATATGAATGTTTAACGGAATAATATACAGCC